TCTGGGAGTATGGATCGACAGCATAAAGAAAGAATTTCTAAGCCAGGTGCAGCGGACAGCTATAATCCCAGCACTTAGGAGGATGACAGAGGAGGAATCAGATTTTGAGGCCAGCCTATGCTACATGAGACTCGACTTTAAAAACAGAAAGCAGCGGACCATGTGTCATACACCTGTAATCCCTGCACTCAGGGAGGCAGAGGCAAGTGGCTCAAGGCCAGCCTGGTCCACAAAGCGAGTCTATGACAGCCAAGGCTATACAGAGAAACCCTGTCTCAAACAGGAAGAAGAAGGAGGAAGAGGAGGAGGAGGAGGAGGAGGAGGAGGAGGAGGAGGAAGAGATGACGACAAACAACCCAAAAACCAAAGCAAAAAAGCTTGCCAGTTGAGCACTCGGGAAGCAGAAGCATGTGGATCTCTGAGTTTGAGACCATTCCAGTCTACAAAGTAAGTTCTATGACAGAGCTAAACAGAGAAACCCTCTCTCAAAAAACCAAAAACACACACATACATACCTATGAACATACATATTAAACACGAAAAAAGGGAGCACTCATATATTAAATTTATTTAGTCAGAATAATTATAAATTAATAACCATTTCCAGTAAGTGTACCACCTTGAAAAAAAAAAAAAAAAAAAAACAACCAACAAGTTTATTTAGTAAAATGTTTTCCCTGTGCTACTCTTGGTTTCCAGTAGATTTTGAACAGCACCTTACCTCGTTCTGAAGGAGTCTTGCTTGCCCCTGGGTTACTAATCTTAGTAAACAAAGCTGTGATGGGTATGAGACAATGGCACAGCATCAACTGGAAGCCAAGCGTCTAGACACACATGAGGGCTGGCTCTGTCCTTAGGTCTCTGCCCATCCCCCTTAGCATGCACTCTACATGGTCCAGTTCAGGAATTTACCTCTGTTATCCTGATGCAAGGAAACTAGCAGGAAAACATGTCTTTTATAGGTTTTTAAAACAATGTATTTATTCCAAGTAGAAAATGGAAGAACTTCAAAAGACAACTGTTTTACATTATCTATGCTTCCTGCTAGTAGAAATAACTCCTAAGGTGCTTTAGATGCAAGCTTTGATACTTCCTGAGCGAAAAGAACCTTCAAAGACACATGTTAAACGATGTGCCTGTTAAACGATGTGGTTACGTTCAGTGTTTATCACGTATACATGCATGTAGGGAGCCACTACCTAGAGGCTGCCGCCCGATCTGTTAGGTACCCACCTCCTCTCACCCCCAGGCAGCTGTTATGCAACACCTTAGAAAACTGGCTTTTTACCTGCCCAGTAACCAGAGTCAAATGGACAGAGCTCGGGTTCAAACGTAGTTCTTCCTGTATCTAACTTTCTAATTTAAACATGGCTGTCCTTCCCAGAAGCTGTGTTTGGGGGTGGGCGTCGCAGACAGACAGACAGACAGACAGACAGACAGGACTGAATCCAGGGCCCTCAACATGCTGGACAGGTGTATTACCACAGAGGTACATACGTAGCATTCTCTCTCTCTTTCTGATATGGTGTTTTGCTATGTAACCCTGGTTGGCCTAAAACCTACTGTGTAGGCAAGGTGCTGCCCTTGAGTTGTCTGTGGCCTCCTGGCCTGTCTTACAAATGCTGGGATTACAGGTGCGCAATATCATACCCACTTTGCCCACGTTTTCCTTGTTTATTTAAATGTTTGCCTACCCTGACCCTGAATTCACTGCAGCACACAGGCAGGCCTTGAACTTGGGCTCTTCCTGCCTCAGCTTGATGAATAGTGAGGATTACAGGCCTGGCCCACCAGACTGGACCAAAGTTTCTCAAATACATACATACATACATACATACATACATACATACACTTCCATCCACAAGGCAAATGCAGGCTCCTACAAGAATAAGATTTAAACATCCTATGTTTTCCATCTGCTAACCATGATTTGGCACCACAGCTCGTTACACAGCAAAGCTGTTATCAAGCTGGGGTGCACTTCCGCAGCAGAGTACTCCAGCAAGGGTCTGGGAAAAAAGGAGGATAAACTCAAAATGAAAACAAACCAACAATCCTGAAACACCAATCCTGACACAGGGAGTCTGTATGTAGCTACAATGATACCATGAGGTGGACAACGAAAGACTCAAGCAGGACAACCTCGCTACTTCATGACAAATGTCACTCAACCAATCCAAGGGGAAATGGACACTGAACCTGAGAGCCACAGACCCAAGACTTGAAGTAAGCCTCCAGCAAGCTTTGTGAATTGTGACTTTGAAGTGCTCCAAGAGGGCAAGTGAGACAACAGTGTGAAAGCTGCAAGGTGCTACACAACTAGGATGTAACTGCCCATGTGGACTTCTGAGACAAAAGCCCAGGTGGGGGAGTGCAGGAGCCTTCATACACACTCCTCCTTCGGCCGGGTAGTGGCGGTGGTGGCACACGCCTTTAACTTCAGCGCTCAGAAGGCAGAGGCAGTGGTTCTTTGTGAGTTCAAGGCCAGCCTGGTATACAAAGCAAGTCCAGGACAGCCAGGGCTACACAGAGAAACCCTGTCTCAGGAAAACAAAACAAACAAACCAAAAAACCAACAAACTCCACCCTCACTCATGGAAGGATCACTTAGGACAGGTGCTCTCAGGATATAGAATATTTCCCTTATAAACACTGTCCTAGCAAACCTATCTGAGCTCATTTATTTACAAAGTGGGAATAGCGATTTCTCTAATGCCAAAAACCGTCTAGCCTAGAACTTGGCTTTCCAGCAATTCAAGAATGGAAGTCTCTTCTTGGGCAAGGAGATGCAGCTCAGTACTAGAGACAGTACTTATACAATGCCCTTGGCTGGATTCCTAGAACCAAAGTACTTTTAAGTTTCTTTACCTTTGGATACATGAGGTCCAGGTTATAATAAAAGAATCCAGAGGCCCCCTCCAACACCTTCCTAACACCTCACACACAGCAAATAACACAGATAAATAACAAAGGGATAGAGCTGATCTTGACTACCAAAGTTTTCTATTCGTATTTTTTACATTTCTTAAATAGTGTCACATTTAACACCTAAATAATAAAGTTAAAGAAAGACAACAAAGTAGTTAAAATTTAACTATTTTAGCAGTTACTGAAATATCTAAGTCTTTTTTTAAATTAAAAACAAAATATGATGCTTTTGGGACAGCCTAGGGATAAATCAAGACATAAGTCACATTCATTTCCTCTCCCATGTAGATGCTGAACAAGATGTTTGTATTTTCTGAGATGATTTGCTGGCCAAACAGCATCACAAAGTACTTTGTTATTAAGAGCCAAACACATTTTTGATATAAATCATAATAAGACCCAAAGGGACCAAATTGGCATCCTCATCTGGGCAGAGGTCTGGGTTACAATGACCTAAGTGACCTGCAGAGGCAGAGCCTTGCAGAGAACCTCCAGGGCCTTGTTTACACGACCTAAGATCTTGGAGAGAAGAAAATGTTCTAGCTGGTTCTTTTGGCACCATTCATACTACATTGTTTAAAATGAGCTAGAACGGGGGCTATTTTAATCTAAGCTACTGGGCAAACACTTGTCTAATAATATCTGCACACACATTAGTCACATGTTAATAAGCACTAAGATCAAGTGTAAGAATTCGCTTTTAATGCCCTATAACACGTGGTTAACCTCAGCATTATTACATAAAACATGTACTGAGGTGTACATTGGTCCCCCTTCCTTCCTCAAAGATGCGTTCTGGGATATGCTAATGTCCTATTATTGCAAAGCACACTACTTTCAACTCATCTGTAAAAATCTAGAACCAAAAAAGACTCTTTATTCTGATAAATCAATGCTTTCCTGAAAGCTTCTCCATAGAGATTAAAGAGCCCATAATTGCCTGTTCTTCTAACAACTGCAATTTCGTGAAACAGTACTTGAAGATTAAGAAGCTGACTAAAGAAACTAAAGCAGTTGGTGAGTGACAACTTCAAGCCCTGTGCCTGTCACTGATGTATGTACTGTCATTTACAGGGACTGACATCAGTGACAGATTCTGTACATTAAATTCTGGAGAATTTTAGCAGAGATCTGGTAAGGAAAGAGGCTGTATAGACCTAGTCAGCCTCATGTGGTGGCACACACTTGTAATCCTAAAATGAAAAATTAGACAAGCAGTCTAAGGTCAGCCTGGACTATACAGAAAGACTCTCTCAAAAACCAGGGATGGGAACACAGCTTAACAGCGGAGGGCATTAAGACATGAACAAGGCCCTGGCTCCAGCCCCAGCCTGCACTGTGCTGTTCCAAATTATTTGACTAATTAGAAAGCACACATAGGATAGGTACTAGAATTAATGTGCTAAGAAGCAACAAAGAAATCAAAACTGTCATAAGGAAGATTTATTTTTCTTTTATTTATGTGCACGCAGTGTGAATGCCCTAAGAGGCCAGATGAGGGTGTCAGATCCCAGGAGCTGAAATTACAGGTGGCTATGAGCCTCCTGACATAGGTGCCGGGGACCAGAATCAGGTCTCTGTAAGAAGAGCAAGTGATACTATCCATTATGACATCTTTCCAGCTCCATTTTTTTTTTTT